CCATTTATGCAGCTAGGAACATGAAATTTCGCACCATTTTCACTCATTATTAACAGAATACTTACCATGAAAATAACAAGGATCGGGTGACTATAACATATATCTTCCATACATCTGAAACCGATAAATTTCGTAAGATATTTTATAAATAATAATACAAAGTCTACTGAGAAAATCGTCAAAATCTACGCTGTATAAGCTTTATCTCCTATACCACTGATTGTTCAGATACCAGTTTTTGCGATATATCTCCTTTATGTAGTAAACTAAACCCAATAAATTGTGTTACCGGTTGTTTACATAACCTTCACATAGCAGTGAAAATCATTTAGATTGGTGCCATATAAGGTATATCTTCCATGCCTCTGATTGTTTAGATGCGATTTTTTATATAAGTATGTAGCTCCTCTATCGATGTATGCAGATGTATTCAAAAGCAGTAATCTGTCAAAGTAAAATTTGCAGATGTTCATGAAAGGTATGAAGCCTTCGGCATAGCCGAAGACAGCGCTGCTCTTACTTGTTTTAAAATAATAAAGCCTCATCTTGACGAACATTTGTACTACAACAGAAAAGTATATTTCAGCATGAATCCAATGCTAGTAAGTAGAATGAGATACTTAATTTAACCCATTTGATTTAAGTCACTCAATTTAAAATTTGTGATCATAATATGCAGATACGGGCGGTTGATTCCCGGTATCCTGGGGCAAGCCACGACTCCTTTGTTTGGAACATTAGCAGAGCCCGACAATATACTCTAAATAGTATCGAACAGGCGATCGCACCTATCGGTTGTTAGGGGACTGTGGATATGACATTGAACCATTTTTGCTGACACCATATCGAAATCCACAGTTCAATTCGCAGCAGTACAAATTTAATCTGGCACATTCAGCTGCTCGTAATATTGTAGAACGTACCATAGGAGTGTTAAAAGAAAAGTCGATTTCATTGCCTTCCTGGAACTTTGCACTACAGCCCAGAAAAAGTAGTCAAAGTAACAAACGTGTGCTGTGCACTTCACAGTATTTGTAAACGTTATAAAATTGCGCATAATGAAGATGATAACATTACCCAAGCAAGTGAGGCAGATGACGACATATGTTATGATAGAGAAACATTGCAGATCAACACAACAGAAGGCGAAAGAAGAAGGGGCGAGATATCAAACACTCTGTAAAATGTTGCAATGGATAACTGGTGTGCACCAAATAAAAAAGTTTTAAATCACATGTCTGCGTTACGGACGTACAAATGTATGTATTTATTTTCTATTTAAAATTAATTTCGTTATTCCGTATTCACTAACTCGTTCACACTTTGATATTAAAAATCCACTATTCTATCACTAAATAATGCTGGGCACATCAACACAGTCTCATTTTGTCGTGGCAATCAATGTTGCCAAACATGGGCTTTTCCTACCAAAACTGGTAGGTTTTTTCCCATTTGGTAGGTTGGTAGGATAGATTGGATTTTGGTAGGTTCCGCGACAATAATAGTTATTTGCGAAAAATATAAAAACTTTGTTTACACGAATATTTCACCGGTGAAGCCCACCATTGTCCACCTGACAGAGACTTTATTGTAAGACTTGAAGAATATCACCAAAACTAACCTATTGATCTTTCAATATGGTAGTAAGACCCGTTGTCACATATGCGGCACCGGCCTGGTGACCAAAAGCTACGCAAGTAAAGGAGGTTTTCACCTTTAGCAAGCTATACCGACTGGTCCGCGTGGCCATTACAGGAGCTATGGGCACCTGTCCAATGGATGCCATTGGTGTCACTACAGGCGTTTTTCTTTTGTCTATCCGGTTTGAAAGAGGCCTGCAGGAGCGCCCTACGACTGCCTAGTATGATCAGCAAGAAAATTTGGGATCTTCGAGGTCATTTGGAGGTTCTAAAGCCATTGCTGGATAATCCCGAGTTATCTTTCTATAAACCCTACAAGATCAGAATTCCTGGAAGGGACTACCGACGGATCAAAGATGAATGAAGAGAGTACTGGGGCAGGCCTCTTTGGACCAAAATTCCAGAAAGTCTGCCAATTTACGCATACCCAACTATATTCCAGGCGAAAGTCTTCGCAATCGTGGTCTGTGTAGAAGGACAAATGGGGCAAAATTGAATATTATGTCGGATATTCACGCAGGTTAAACGCTTTAGACTCTTTTAAAACGGCATCAGGCTTGTGGATAGCTGTAAAACTCTTTTGAATCACTTGGAAGCCAACTATAACGTAACGCTGTGTGGGGTTCCGGGACATGAAGGGTTTAAGGCAACGAAAGCTGACTGTCTCGCAAAGCGTGGAGCCCAAACGCACTTGCATGGTCCCTAGCCTTTAGTGAGCTGGTGGAGGAAACTCCAGAGCATATTCTATGTGACTGCCCCCGTATCATAAATACCAGATTGATACACTTTGGGGAAGGATTGTCTTCATCCAAAATTTTATTTTAACATGGCACCCTCCAAATTGCCTAACTTTTGAAAGAGAATAAGGTTGGTAATAAGGTAATAATAATAATATAGTCGATGTTTTTGCAAAACCGCCCATCGCCCAATTGCAAAACCGCCTATCTTACGGCACTCAAATTTTACAGGAGAGCGAAAAAACAGTTTATTCTTTGAAGGCATTGCCTTGTTAGGCGATATCTTCTCTAGCTATTATTTTACAAATCTGGTGTTTTAATAACGGTTTAATGATTTTTATGCAGAAATTTCGATGCCTTGTCATTAAAAAAATATTAAAAACCTAAATAAAATTTTGGTAGGTTTTGGTTGATTTTGGTAGGAAGTTTTGGTAGGAAAAAAAATTTGTCTGTGGCAACACTGGTGGCAATAGTGCGTCGCGCTCAGTTATGGTTGCCACGTTTTTATAAATGTACTAAAACTGGTATATTTCGTGCATGTGTCTTTTGTCCTATTTTGCTTATACCTATAGTGAAATAATGAATCGTGGAAGTTTTTAGCAACTAATACTATTAGTTTATAGAAACTTTTCCATACGAAAAATTTAATACTTGTAAAATTTTAAAAAATTTAAATATGTTTAACTCATTTGTTTAATACCTGGACACAATTTTATTGGAATCTAATCTTTAAAATGCTGGCTGGCCAGATGATTTTGGTGTTTATATTTTATTATTTTCATATAAATAGGAATTTAGTGCTATAAATAGAATAAAACTTATAAATATTATTCATTAAGTATTTTTGGGTATTAACCAGCATTTAAATCTCTTGTCGATTTCTTTACATAGAAACAAATTATTCTAAAATATGGCATGCAATTTGTGCACTTTTTTATAAAAATCATGGAACTTATTACAAAATTATTGAACGTTGGTCAGCAAGCAGCGCATTTTATATTTTGTTTAAATTGACACGGCATGAAAAATACAGTTTGCTTATATTAAAAATAAGTAGGCATAACCGCATAACGGTCACACTATTTTGTGTTTGAATCGTCGCAAATGCATGCAAACAGCAATCTAAGAAAAACACAAAACTTTTTCCTTTGGGTATTTTTTGTAAATTTTCTACACAAAATGTGGCAAGTGCGAGCTAAAAATACGAAAAAAAAACAACCCACAGCCGAGCATAATGTTAGCTTGGTGAAATCTGCAAGAAGACTGAAACGAAATTCGCTGCTTTGCTTCTGTGTACGTATACGAACTGTGCCGCTGGCGTTGCTCACGAGCAAAAATTGCTAAGCTGTGCACTAAACCCATACACTTAGTTTGGAGTAAATTTCTTTATACATATTTAGTCTGTTCCTTTGAACTTTGGACTAAAACCTGTGGAACTGTCAAACAGGAGTGCATAGGAACGCAAAAAGCACTATTTCCTGTAAAAACGTCATTCGGTTTGTTTACATGTCATTTGTACAACACAGATTTAGCTGAAATATCACTAAATAATTATTAAAATCTATACATATTCAAACATTTCGTTGTTTACTTCCATTTTTTTTACAAATATAAGGTACTTTGCTTTCACCGCTGCTTGTTTTTGCTTGCACATGCAAATCAGCTGAACGTTTGACAATTTTCATGAACTTACAGGAAAAAAAACTCCGGACTAAATCCTGTAACTTCTGACTAGGAACAGTTGCTCAGTTACTCTCTCAAATGTGTTCCCACTTACAGGTTTTATGTCAATAGGAACGACTTCCTGTAAGTTCTGACTAAATCCTGTAAACCGAACTGCTATTGGAACAGACTAATTATGCACGGTGCACAAGGGCGTATGGTGCAGTGCCATATTAGGTCCATTCAATAACTTTTCCAGTAAGTACTTACAGCGAGAGCGTAAAAGAAAAATAGAGAGTAAAATTGAGAGCAAGACAAAATTTTCAGAAAAAGTTATTGAACGCAAAACTAGTAAAAACTTGCAACTTAAGCCATTTTGACGTTTTCTGACGGTTAAATTTTGGCGCCCAATTTTCTTTTAAATTGGGAATAGTTCCCATCGTCATAAAAATAAAAAAATATACAATATATATACATTTCACTAATTATGTTTCATCAAATCATCCTCTTAAACAGTTTGTTTACATTTGAATTTGAAACATAACCTTACTATTTGACTCCTGCAAATTCCTGCTAGTAAAATTTTTACTTGCAAGAATTTGCAGCTCTCTCGGGTTGTTACGCTCTCGAATTCGCTCCCTCTTGCAAATATTTTGGGTTATTGAATGCATTCCCAGTAAAAACTTGCAAGTACTAGCAACAATTCGTAACAATTTTTTGATATTGAATGGACCTATTGTCGACAAATAATGCCAACTGAACGCATTCTCACTAATACTGTGTGCTCAAAAAATCGAGTAAGCCCAACAGCTTTGATGGCAACAAGACTGAAAGAAACGCTTGTAGAGAAGCTAGTGCAGTTTATCTGTGGACGGATTCAAGTTGTTACGCTCGCAAAAGCGCTTGACGCAGACAACGTGTCCGCACCGCTTATTAGTAATAGCGATTACAACATATTACGAACGCAGTTTGCGTACATGTCAAAAAGCTCGCTGTTGAGAGATCGCACAAAATGTACCTGTCAGCCGTGGTCAGCTAACTTCATGCGAATGAAAAATTCTTTCCTTTTTGACGAAGTCAGCGGAGGATAAGGTTCTGATTCGGAAAACGCCCAGCAAACAAGAAACAGAGTAAGCAAACACATACAGTGGACGAGACACTAAAGTAAGCCAGTGCCGGTTAATTCTGCACAAGTCTATTTTTGTTTGGTTGTAGAGTTGGCGAAGGGAAGCTGCGCGGCCTCAGTGGTACATTTGACAGCGGTGGAATGCGTCGCATCTTGGTGATATTCCATCGAAGCCAGGTTTCCAGAAAATTGGATGTTCTACACGTATGTATTGTGGATGTCGATGCAATTGAAATCTAGAGCAGTTCCCATACTCGTAGCGGGTGCATCCGCCAGATTCCTGTATATTCATATAAGCGAAGTAAAAGACAGCACGTGTGTGTGTATAACCCCTCTCAAGGTTAGAGGCCTGCGTAAGCCAATTGCATTTAAGCAAGTTCATGCAGTATAAATTAGTATTTTTTATGAATTTGGTATAATAATTTTATAAGGGTTGCAATCAAGGGGAATTTGCGAATTCTATGCCACTACTGGACTTTATGAATTTGAAGCGTTATGACAAGGTTTAACGAAATTAATGAATTCATCACACACGATTTTTAAGGCAATTTATATTCACTCAAAGAAACAAAAAATACATAGTTTTGTACATAGACTTACATGCAAAGTAAACATTTTCTTTCTGTTGTAAATTAGTATGCCTAGGAAAGGCTTGCGTAGTAGTAGGAAGAAGCAAATGGAGGGCAAGAATAAAAATTCGAACGCGTTTGCGGAGAGGGACAGTAACGTTCTTATTGTTGAGCAGAATAACGCTGAAATGGTGGGGGATGCGACAGGTAATAGTAGCAAAGTGACTGCCGAAACGGCACGCACCGGTCAGCGATACATTCCACTGGGCGAGATTCCGTCACCGGAAGTAACTGCATTAGACAAAATAAGAGGAGAATTGTTACAGAAGTTTGAAGCTATGTTTTTCCAATATCAGATAGACATTAATCCAACAACCACGGAGGCTATTCATGCGGCTATGTCTAAGGTCCGTAGAGACGTACGTAGCCTGGGGGATAGACTTTCCGCGGTAGAGGAATACCGAAGCAATGAGAAGTTGAATGAAGAATCGAGGTCGGGTGAGCTAGCACGGTCACGAAGTGTGCACGGCGAGTATAGGGAACGTAGCCCAGTGGCTGGTGAAAGGTTACAAGCCCGTCGGCAATTGTTCACAGATTCACCTAGCGATAACAACGATGTTACAAGAACTTGTACTGTTGGTACATGCTAAAATAACTCACGTTTCCTTCTACTTAGTAATAGGCCATTTGAAGTGCACTTTCGTTCCATCTCCCTCACTTCCGGTTTCCGATTTTTTTTTTTTTGCTTGTTCAAACATTGCCATCCTGTGTTGAACATTAAACACAGCTACCAAAGTTCCCTTCAAGCAATTCTTTGATCATATGATCTTGTTTATCGAATTATCGATAAAACGATGAAGCTCATGTTTGGCTTCGAAGCAACTTCCGCAAAACTTATTCGTTCTTTTCTTTCGGAACCTTGGAGCGGAGAACACCCAGATTTATAAAAAAATAAAAATCTAAAGTGAATGAATTTTTTTTTGTGAAAAACGTGCTGGCGTATACACCAACAAGAAGGAAGAAACCCCTAGCTGGTAAGAAATAATAACAATTATTTTGTGTCAGTGAAAAAGTCTAGAGATTTGGTCAAAAAAGTGATAGCCCCTAATTTCCTCTAGGCGTTGCGACTGTGACACAAAGAAAGTTGTGATATCCTGAATCTAGGACTACTCGGATCCACTTTCGAGCAACAATCAACCTACATCAGCCGATCTGCGGGAAATTAGTGTCGTCATAATACCAGCAGGCTAAAGCAAGACTCCAGCATCTTTACCTAATTACAAATTTTGTATATTCATACATAAGCCGGAATTCCACTTTGTGCACTTATAGGCAGGCACACGCTGTTCTAGGTCGCTATGTGATAGACAGCGATAAGTCAGGTTTAAATCATAAAAAAAAGGGACCAATCGGCCCTAACATTACAATTTTTTTAAAGCTTCCGTTTCGGTCTCTTGTGACAGCGATTTTCTAGCCACCCCGGCTTAACCTAATAAAACGAAAGCTAAGAATTTTATGCCATGAACCTATAATGGAAAAAAAATAGTTAAATGAATTAAGACATTAACAATTATGTACTTACCTTTTAAATACTTACCTTTATACTTACCTTAAATCCTTATATTACAAAGTTAATATTTTTTTTAAATAGTGAATTAACTACATAGATTTCAACCACATGCTTTTAGTTCCAACTTAGGTTCTTTCTACTTACCTCTTATATTTACGTTCGTTTTGCATACTTTAGAAAGCTGTACACCCTTATGTATGTACATAATCGTGTTAGCTATTAACGAAGATCATATTCATAGGTACCATGTGGTGAGTCCACATGGTCACCTAACCTAACTCAACAAGAGGATTTCAGTTTAAATTTGCTCATACATATGTATATTTCTTAATATGCGCTCTTCAATATTAATGAAGTTTAAGAGAAGGTAACATATGTATGTATATAAATGCCCAGTTTGTTTTTCCTTTTTAATTTTTGCTTTATTAACATTGTTTTTTTTGTGAGAGCATGTTAAAACTCTAGCAGTTTTGTCGACTTTCGCTCTCGCAAATATACAGTATGCGACCAAACAATAGAGCAACCTTCTCTGGCCAGATGATTTCCGATTAAATTTAATTTTTGTTTATATTATTTTTTTTCACTTATAATTTTTTTTCATAAACGAGTTTATGAACTGACACTGAAATAAGAACCTGCAAAGGCAAAATAATTCTTCTGCAGTATCAACAACAAAGCAAGGAGGCCTCTTCGCTTCGTGGGATTGCGATCAAAGTGAGTTAACGTTGTTTTTATGTTATTATACGTTTTTTCAACTTCTTTTTTTCATATACATATATATTATAATCTGTGTATATGTATGTACATATGAACGCAGGTGTATAAAAAGTTTCTCCTGCTTAATGCTTATGTACGTACATAGGTGTATACAGATATATATCACGGATTGATTATTTTTTTTTCACTTTACTTTTGATTATTTCAAAGTTTATATGTAAGTGCATATGTATGCAAATAAATGTATAAGGAGCACAAGCCATACTGTCTTTTGCTTCCGTTTTACAACCGCATGTACAATTCTATATACCTATGTTAATATATAGATTTTGGCAATCTGATTCTTTTTTCTGGTTGCTTTTTATTTGCATATACAGTTGTCCACAAAATAATAGGAGTGCGATATTTTGACCAGTTTTGGCTATTTGCCTTTTGTTTATTTAATGTTTATTATTTTTTTATAAAAGCCTAGCTGGCTATAGCAGATACCCGTTCACGCGCTGCTGGGTATAGGATCCTTAGGACGATTGCAGGGGGTTTTAATTACAGGTTGAGGTTGGTTGATAGTTTCCTTTGAACAGCTAGTGTGCAAACTACAATATTATCTTGTAGGGACTTTAGGCTAGGGAGAAGGCGGCTGGGTTCCACAACTGTTGAAATGATCCCACGAAACTGAAGCTCCGGGAATGAGCCAGTGCACACGCCTCAGCTGTGGGACACAACAACCAGCGATTCTCACTCATCCTGGCCCATGGTCACGTTACAGATAAATGGCGCCCAACGTGGGGCCCACAGGATAGATAATGGCTCTTTAAGAAGTAGCCCGAACGAATTGTGGTCCCATTAATATTTCCCTCTTGGAATATGTTTTTGTCCATCCGGTATATTTTTTTTTTTATTTTTCTTTAGCGATAAATATTTACATATATACGGAGCAAGTTTTGGATTTTTTTAACTTATAGCTAAATGGTAAAGTTTTTACCGATTTGCATCACAAATATGTAGATTTTGTTTAAATTTTATTTAGTTAATTTTGCGTTTAATTGGTTTTGGTTCGTACAATCAATACAGTTGGAATTGTTGTTCCCACAGGCTTTATGCCCAAAAGAATAAACCACTGATTTTAATGTATGATCCTGGCTATTTAAAAGAGTTGATTTTTGTATATATTTTTTTGTGACTTTCATTTTTTTTGGTTACTCGTATGCATCAAAGCTATAAGGAATTCAGTTGTAGTAAGGCTACACGCCCACTATCTGACCGATAGCCTGGACGCATACCTGTCCTTAAAGTTTGAAGTTAGCATTCTCAAATCCGCCTTCGAGATTTTTCCAGATTTTAGTTTGATCTTGTTTTAGTTTTTATGTTGCTTGATGAACGGAATTTATAGCAGATCATAAGGTTATAACCGACTTCAAGGATTTTTTTTATTTCATTTTTGCTTCACCACCTCAAACCAAATAGTGATTACTTTATGTTAGTCTAGGATCTCTTATACCTATTTAGACCACCACACGACCAAAGAGTCAGACCCTTATTGGATTTTGGAAATTTTAAATTTGCTTTATTTGTTTTTGGTGTCAACGATTTGATACAGATGTTGATCGATTTCTTTTGATTGTTTTTTTTGCTGATACTATTGATGAGATTTTTTTATTCTTTTTTGTTGCCGAGTTATTAGATGATTTTTCTGCAGCTTTTACACGTCGAGGGCTTGCTGAAATTAATATTTGCTATAGATATTTTTTTATTTTTATTTGATTATGTTTGTTTACAATTGTTTACCGTACCCCTTATTTTTTTGCACATACCTACTACATACTGAATAAATTTAAGATAAACCAACGCATACATTTCTTATTGTTACATTTAGAACATCAAAACAGTACATATTTTTTTATTAAATTTATACCTATATATGAACATATATGGCCTGCTTTTCATTTACGTTGAAGCGAAAGTATACCCCTTCGAAAAACTGAATTTAGAGAGTTTAAATTGGAAGTTGTGGCAGTTTATTTTTTTTTTATCGTAATTTTATTTGCTTTTCAAAATGCCCTTGCATCGTAGTGGCGAGCACGTGCCTCCCCAGGCTAATTCATGTACTATATGTAGGGAACAATTCGCTGAACCCGACGATGTGTTAGTGACTGCGTGCTCACATCGCTTTCATCGCGCATGTCTTTTGACTTGGCTTAAAAGAAACACGTCATGCCCTCAATGCAAAGCCAAGTGTAGCAGTAAGGACCTTTGTCAAAACACCGGTGCGATTACTAGAGCCGGCGCCCAACGTGCGATGCAGTCAGACAATCCTCTTGGTAATCGACAGCCAATGACTGCAGCAAATGAGGATCATCAAGTCGAAGGAGCTGCAAGTCTACCTACTGGGAATGGACAGGAGAAAAACCACAGCTCAAAGGACGAAGAGAACCGCATACGCAACATCGTCACAGCCATAGTATCGGCCCGACACGACACAATGTTGGACAACTTGGAAAGTCGGGTTTCGCAAGCCATCGAGCAGAGGCTTGAGCATGTTATGAGTAGCCTTGTAGACCGATTAACCCTGAATTCCCAACCAGTCCCGCCAGTAGCTAACATTAGTCCCGACGCAAACCCACGACAGCCTAACGAGTTGCCAAATAACTCTACTCCCTTCTGGCAGCGAGACTTACCAAATTTGGCCAACAATTCAAACCAAAACTTTCATAGGCAGATTGATCAATTCAGATTTAGCGATATATCAAGCGTGCCCA